AGATTCATATCATTCGATGCTAATGTTATCCATCCATTGGAATCTTCTTTAAAATCAATCAAACCAGATAATGAAGCTGTAGAACTTGTGTAAATGAGTCGAGCATTCGATTTCACTGCAAATTCCAAACAATTTAACGTACCAAAAACGTTCGATTCTTTCAAAACTTTATAGGGTACTTGCAAATTAACAATCGATGCATTATGATAAATCAAACCAATTTGTTGCGTTAGGTCATTATAGAAATCTTGAGTTAAGCCAAGATTTTCTTTCGAAACATCACCAACAATACATCGAATTCTTGTCCAATCGATCGAAGAAAAGCGTTCACATTTTTGCAAATCTTGTTCTAGACGTTGTTGTGCATGTTTGATATCGTTCGCTCTTATCAGACAATAAATTACAACACTACTATCTGTTTTGTTGAAGATTTCACTAATGAGTAGTGGACCTAAAAATCCAGTACAACCAGTAACTAAAATATTCGTCTTTCGTGGATTTGATGATTTTCGAATAAGATTTTTAATTCGATCAGGAATCTGATATTCCTTTTTCCAATCAATATCGATTATGATTTCATTATATATGATACGTTTTTTCAAAAGTATTTCTTCAAGATGATTTAATTGATAATTGTATACAGTGGATGGATTCAGAGGAATATCACGTTCATGATAGACTTTGCATAGACGAGCAACAGCTAAAGAATCAGCACCGATTTCTAAGAACGTATTTCCACCATTGATATGTCCTTTTAAAGAACGATTTAAAACATTTTCTAATATGGATACGAATTCTATATTCAAATCAAGATTTTTGACATGTTCTTGAATATTTTCTTGATGAAAAAGATCAGTTTTGACTTGAGAATAATGTTTCATCAATGCTGTACGACATTTTTTCTCTTTCATAAGACCGTTTATTTCATTCCAAATAATATCTCGTTCGATGTAAATACATTGAGGTATTTCTGATCCACGTAAACCACAATGTGCGCCATAGAATCGAATTAATTGTAACATTTCAGATTCATTCAATGTTCTACCGATTTCAGATGGACATACAATGGCTGCCACATAAGTACAACTTGAATCACCTAAAATAAATGCCGATGAAATTTCTGGCAGTTGTTCCAGAATATTTTCAATTTTAACTGGAGAAATCCATTCAGCTAACGAGTTCTTTATCATTGTACCTGATCGATCGAACAGTTTTAATGTTCGTTGGGTTAGTATTCCAATATCACCAGTTTTATAGTATCGTTTTCCATCGATATTAATAAATGAAGAATGATTATCAAGTCCCCAATAACCAGATATCATTCGAGGTGAATGAATACAAATTTCACCTTCTGTTTCTCCATCTAATTCTAAATCAGGTACTGGAATTAATTTGACATCAACACCTGGATAGAGAACACCATCTCGGGAAATATTACCACATTCTCGACAACCATACATATTGACAACATCGATTTTTAATACATTTCGAATGAATGATAATACTGAAGGAGAAATCGAGCCACCACCCGATGTTCCACTGATCACTCGACCGCCTAAACTTTGTTGCATTTCTCTTGCTGCATTCTCTCGCTGTTCGTCTGTTGCATGTCCTGTCAGCTTTCTCAAGTAGATTTTATACAGAAAGGTCCATATTGCTGGACTTAAACCAAGACTTGTTGGCCTTATATCTCTGATGTCATCCCACATATCTTTTAGATTTGTTAGACCTCGACTACTTCCATATTGTATCGTACTCATGAGTGATAGCACTAAAACAGGATCGAATGGTTGATAATCGATACGAATGAATGGTGATATGAGCGTAAATGTATCCGTAGGAACTAATAAATCTTCAGTGAATATTGCTCCTTTTGGATGTCCTGTACTACCAGATGTAGAAAGAATGGCCGAAATCGTGTCATTAGATAGAGGAGAATTTGATAGAATATCGTTTTGAACTTTGACACCTAATTCAAGAGCAGTTGTCAATGAAATTGAATCTTTCAGAATCGATGTTACTGGTTGAAATTGTTCTTCTTTTTGACTAATTGTCATTATTAATCTGCTTGACTTCGGTACTAAAATACTTGAAATTTTATCGAAGTATTGTTCGCCAACAATAATAATAGATGGATCGGTTGTCGATAAAATATGCGTTAAAGCATCGACTTGCAAAGCTCCATTCGTTGGAACAAGCACAGCTTGGCACAAAAGTCCCGCTAATAGTGAAGCAATATAAGCAGGTGAAGTATCAGCTAAGAGCATTATGAATGGTCTGACATTTTGATTGATATTCAAGAGAAATTGTTTCCAATATTTTGCTAATGCGTAACATTTAGATGACATATCATTATATGTTAACCATACCAACTGTCCACTCTCTCGATTTCTGAAACTGATAAATGGCGATGATCCGAATACGTGAAAAGCATTGTTGATCAATTCAACAGATGTTGAACCATGCGCTCGTTGTTGAGTAGGAAGAATATGTGGTACTAATTTATGTGAATGAGCCATGGCTACATCATTAAGATTACATCCAGGACACGTTGTAAAATGGCATGGAGCACAAAACCAACGATTATCACCCGGATTAAGTATATTTGTGCATACAGCACATATACATATATCAAGTCGATATGTAAACATAGGATTCAATTGACATTGTTCAGCTTGAAATGATCCATAACTACCTGCTTGAGCATTTGACCAATTACCCGTAAATATATATGTATCTGTTTCACATTTGCTAATTTTACCTCGATATTCCACATTGTATTCGATCGTTGCATATTTCTTGATAATATTCATATCATCAAGTGTTCCTTTTCCATCCAATGAAAAGAATAACAATGGTTGATTAGGTATATCAGCTGAATCATTGAAATAACCGCTACCAAACATTTGCCATGTATCATTGTTGATTCGAAATAATGTAGCACACCATCGAATTGGATTAACAGGAATGAAAAAATCGGCAAGTTCTACAGCCGGTTGTGCTTCACCTGTCCATATTCCCGATAAACAATGAGATATACTATCCGGTTCACTAATCATTACCAATTTACCGAAAATATTGGAATTTATCAATGATTTCCAAGTGCCATGTAAATAAGTAGTTCCGACTGTTTTATCAACTGTTAATTTGCATTGATATTCATACATTACTGTGCCATTCATCATTTCTATTAGAGAAGCTTGTTGAGTTACACTATCATAAGTACCATGAATTATACTACTTGATGATATTTTCGGATCATTATCATAAAATCCAGCACCAAATGCTGATGGATATCGTTTTGTTGGAGTAAAACTTAGGGTAAATTTCAATGAATTTTGTTCAATGATATCAATAGATACAGAAGCATCGATAACTCGCTGACCAATAAATGTTCCAGTACAATAGACTGACATTTCGATTAGACCAGTATATCTATGTAAAATCTAGAAATTCAGAAAAAACAAGAACTAATCGACTTCATCCAGATTCAAGATCTTAACATCCAAGACATAGCGAAAGAGATGTATAATTTTTAGAAAATATAGAAGCAGACTTGAATATATCAAACCCCGCATAATAAAACTATTAGAATGAATTGAACAGTCAGATCTTAGTAGATCCCTGTTCTACAATAGTCTCTTCTATTTGGATAAATTCTATAAAAGCAAAACTAAATATTTGGCTCATTTTTTTCTCGTATAACGTAAGTGAAAAGTATTAACCTCTTCTTTTGCAATGACAGCACTTCTTGTAAGTGCTGAAACTGTTTCTTTATTGGTTCTCTTCAATTACTAGTGTTTCTCTCACCTTTCTTACTGATACCGTAGCCTTCATACAGCAGGTAATGTATTTCCATTTTTTCTTTTTCTTCCTCTTCCTTTTTTTTCTTTTAATTCCTACCCACATTTACAACCTATGTACGTCATTGTCCAAATATTTGATGTTTGATTTTTCCGTGGACCTGCACTGATTCGAAAAGAATTTATAAGAACAACACTATGAATGTTAATACGTTCCTGATTGTAAGCATCTCTGAATCTAACAATAAATCAAGTAAATTGAAACAAACTATCTCGAGAAGAAAAGAAACGCTTATGACAAAATAACTCCAAAGACGAAAAAAAAAATCTGTAGAGAATGAGTAAAAAAAAGTTAACACTCATAGGCGCAACGTGTCCTATTGTATCGAATACTTACCTTGAATAAACGCGCTTTGTCATCCAAGAGAAAACAGAGAATGACGTCAGAATTTCTGACAGAGAAAGAAAAACATTTCTTCTTTTGCCTCATTTTTCGTGTGAGACAATAATTTACTCCGAAAACAGAAAGAAAGTCTGTAATTTCTCTGTCTTTGAGCAAATACTCAACTACCAATTATTTTTATCGTTAGCAGTAGAGCTCGATACGGTTATAGTTTTCGAATTGTTCTAAGCGACATCTTCTATTGTATTCTATATTGATGATATAATTCTTTGAAAAGAATTAATCATATCGATTAAGTATTAGAATACAAACAGTTTTATTATTGATAGTTGATCACAGATCAATGAATGTGGGTGTGGATAAGGGTATGGATGTAATTGTTGTCAAACACACTCATACCCGAGCTGGAGTTGATCCCTGCCCAATCTCGATATTCTCGTTTTTTCCCGTAAAACATCTAGCATCTTATTCGTCTTTTTGCTCAATAGTTCTCAAAAAATTTCCCAAATTCTCATAAATCCGATTTGTCTCGTCGAGAATCTTTCAATCAACCTCCTAATTGATCAAAGCCATCCTGCCTCAGTCTTGGCAATCTCGGTATATCCTGTTTAGGTATCTATTAAATTTCTATGTAATCAAATATCTTCATCTTTCTAGTCAAGAATGTTGAAATAAATTTTTTCGACATTCTCATATGATTGATATTCTATTTTCTTGCTATAAATCTTTCGTCATTTTTTTTTTCATTATTTTTTCTTTCGATCAATTTAATATCATTCTTCACAATGTGATGGTGAACATTGTCGACGCGGACTGCCGACGGCACGTCTATACAATGAACTTTATCGAAATATAGCAATATAAATATATTGTTATTGGAACCATCGTGAATTTCAACAAGTATGGATAGTTTCAATGTTAGCTTACTTGATTTACCTGACGAAATATTGCTTACTATTTTCAAGAAATTTAATAATATTGATTTATTATATTCACTGATTGATAGTAATCAAAAACTCGATCAAGTTGCACGTGATATTAACTTTACTAAAGCTATTGATCTAACGATAGTATCATCAAATGATCCGAGCGACTTGAGACTAAATGCTATGGTTGATCGATTTTGTACATATATATTACCTCGAATTCATAATAACGTGGAATCTCTTAGTGTTCAAACATCGTTATTTCAGCGTATTCTTCATGCTAGTAACTATCCTAACTTACACAAGCTCACTCTCCTCAATCTTGAAATGGATATAACTTCTCATATGTTTATTAGTATGTGAATTAATTTTTCTGTCCTCAAGTCTTAGTAGAAAAATCGCTATTTATTTGTTCTTACAAACATCAAACATCACATTTCGTGGTGACAATCAGTGATGCATTTAGGTATAGACCAATAGAGATCATAATAGCTCAAACGTATGTTGCCATTTTTGCTTGGTTATCAAATCTACAATATTTAGATTTAGATGGTATTGATGGTAATCTCTACTCAAGACGATTGCTGTGTGATTTATCTTCTACAAGATGTTATTCTTCCAGTATCGCTCATTTACGTATTAAAATACATAATTTTGATGATTGTCTCTGCTTACTCGATGTTCGTCTTAGTCAATTACATACATTGATTGTCAAACTTGATTATATCCGTCATTGAAGAATAATTATAAATAATGAGATAAAGAATTCTTTCATTTTAATATCTGCTAGAACAGTTGTATTAACAATGTCTGAAGGCAGGTCTCAGAAAGATGTGCACATTTATATAAGTATACATTGAAAAGTTAGAGTATCAAAATCCTAGCTAGTGAATAATTTAATGTAATTAATATTCAATGATATTCTGTATAAGTTTCATGGATTACGAGTCTTTACGAAGAAAATTAGGAAATACAGAAAATGAAAAATATTGCAGTATCTTTGTTTTTTAACATTTGCACTACGCCTTTAATTATTCATTCATAAGTTGCTCTTTCATCGTTGAAATATTATGAATTTTTATGAGCAAAGATGAACAGAAATTTTTATGATTTTTTTCTCCTTTTCACTTTTTGTATCTAAGTCAGTTTCATGTATTTGAACGCCTTTGAGATATCTTTCAATCTTTCTTTTTTCCAATTCTAACCATCCTTAATTTCGATCGTTAGAATTATCCAAAAAAAACAGTATTTCTTCAGGAAACTAGTTACAAAATGGAGATATAACATTATTTAGATGAATATCACCAAAGTTCAACTTTTTCTTAATCTGTTTTCCGGTAAAATTCGAGTTCATTGCTATGTATTTATCAAATAATTGTCAGAATATAAGAATATTTCTGATTCAATACGATTTTATTCGAAGATCGTAAGATAACTGATAAAGTAGAAGATTAATTTATAAATATTATATATGATCATGAGTTCATAATCGTACTAGATGGAAAACTAGCCTTGATATATATTAACAATACTAATGAATTTATTCAATCTATCATTGAATGAATTATTAATCTAGGATTGCTGAATACTTTTTGTGTTATTTTTATAGAGTTCGTTGTCGAAATTTATTTATTGATGGTATTTATTTAACTAATGAAGTTATCAATCACATGTTGCATCTACATACATTTATATTCGACATTGTCAGTGACGATACAATGATTAATATACATTCTAAACCGTCTTCTGATGATATTCGACGCACGTTCATCGAAAGTAGACATCATGTTGATTACTATGTTGACTATTATACAAACGAAATAGGTCGATGTCACGTTTACTCACTTCCGTTCACTATGGAATGTATACATGCCATTACATCCAGATTTCCAGGTGGTATGTTTATGAATGTTCGCATTTTACAAGTGTGCGATATTGTCCGCTCTTTTGAAAATACATTCTTTGCTAAAATCTCGCGTTCTTTTCCATTACTCAATCGACTGACAGTATCTAATATAACAGAACGAATAGAAAAACCATCATGTCAGTTGAAGAAACCCAAAGAAACATCCTCGATTATTGAATATTCTTATCTTGTAGCGCTTATCCTGTATGATGTACATATAGACTATGTGGAACAATTTCTTTCTAACTTGAATACATGCCTTCCTTGTCTCAGGGAACTTTGCGTTCGATAGGAACATTTAATAATTGTCACAGAAAATTTTACAAGAGATACAACGCGTATCACTTGTGCAAAACTGAAACGTATTATCTTTGATAATGACATACGTTTAGTGCATTCAAAAAATCACAATGATAATCAATAAAAACTGTTTAATCAAGCTATATTAACTATATAAGCGTCATAGACTACTGGCAGATATGTCAATTTGATCTAATAGAAAGAATTGTAATTGTGAATAATACTGAAAATTTACAATACTAAATTAATTATGCTTAATTATTAAGCAAGTCGATAATAGTTAATAGTTTATTTGACATATACACAAAACAATCTTTCAATAACTTTTATAGATGATCATTGGAATGATTCATTACAATGGCTTAAATGTTTATAAAATTTACATTCGAATGTAGCATTGCAAATCAATAATTATAAAACCAATAATAATTGATTAACAATAGATATGCTATATTACACTCATACGAATTAGAATTAAAACTTTGACATTTCTGTTTGAATTTTTGCAGTAAAAATATTCATTAGCAGAATATACAGAACTCAATAGTTAGTATGAAATTTTATGACACTAGGTATTTTGCGAAGAAAATTTCTGCAAAAATGGAAACCAGAGAAGTTGTAACTAATGCGCGTGAACTCGTTTACTATTTATCGCAATAAGGAACAAACTGATTTCGTAATTTCAGATAATTTCAAATTGATTTCTGATGTCGAAATCAGTTTATTCTTCCTTGACTCAATGTACACGATCCAAATTTGAAGCAAAGTCATTTGTGAAGACCTGCTCGATCATAAATTACAAATAATTTGCTTCATACATGTGATTCCATCATGTTTGTTATGATTTGATAAGAAAATAAATTTAAAAAAAACCTACTTCATTTCTTTTTCTCATTAAATACATCAGAAAGACAAAAAAATGTTTTTTTCCCTACAGAGAACTGTTTAGCAATAAAAAAAAAACATAAAGAATTATAAAATATACATTTGAAAAAGTTTAAATTTTTGTTTTTGTCGAATAGCTCGATCAATGACTGAATGTGTATTGGACGTTCTATCAAATCAGTTTTTGATGTTG